AAATGACGTTTGGGAACAACAAGGGCCAGACTCCAATAAGTGTTGCTACATCCGTTGATCTGCATGTCACAGTGCTTAAATCAACTAGAACACCCCCTATGTCAGAGAAGATAATTTGGGGTAGGATAAAAGAGCATCCCCATAGGATGCCAATGCTTGTAGAAGCAGTGGAAGACCCATCCAGGCCAGCGGACTTCACGATTGGAAGGTCACTTGTAGCAGGTCGTCAAGTAGTACCTATAACAGTGGCCAATTTCTCTAAATGTGAGCAGACACTTAAGGAAGGGGCATTGTTGGGCGTGTGCCAGGAGGTAGAGCCATAAAATGTTAAAGCAAGAAATACAACTATAAAGAAAGTACATACACTTCCAGAACATATAACAGACCTCAACAAGAAGAGCAAAGTCCATTATTCATCATCACAGGCTCTTCAGGTTAGAGATCTTTTGGCGAATTATGCAGACGTCTTTTCGAAAGGAGATCATGACCTCGGCTGCACAGACCTTGTAGAGCACATAATAAACACAGGCAATCAACGTCCAATAAAGATCCCTCCAAGGAGAATAGCTCCAGCAAAGCGACAAGAGTTGGAGAAGGTCATGGATGACCTAATTAAGGAAGGGATAGTCGAGAAATCAGATAGATCCTGGTCAGCTCCCGTTGTGTTAGTCCAGAAGAAGGATGGGACCCAACGTTGCTGTGTGGACTTAACAGCATAACCGAAAAAGACTCCTATCCACTGCCAAGAATTGGTGATATTCTTGATACCCTAAGTGGAGCCAGGTGGTTTTCAACTCTGGACTTAAAGTCGGGTTTCCATCAAGTGAAAATGGCTGAAGCAGATAATCCTAAGACTGCATTTAGTTATGGCCAAGGTCTCTGGCAATACCGTGTGATGCCATTCGGGCTTAGCAATGCTCCAGCAACATTTGAGAGGCTGATGGAAAGAGTACTGGAAGGCCTACAATAGAGGATAGCCCTAGTGTACCTGGATGATGTCATTGTATTTGCAACAACTTTTGATGAGGAAATGTCCCGGCTAGAGGAAGTATTCAAGCGTTTCAAAGCAGCAAACCTCAAACTCCATCCCAAGAAATGTCACTTGTTCCAGAAAGAGGTGCTTTACTTGGGTCACATTGTAAGTGAGCATGGTGTGCGAACTGATCCTGACAAGGTGAAAGCAGTGCGTGATTGGCCAACACCCGACAATATGGGAGAGTTAAGAAGTTTCTTGGGACTCTGTACCTATTCTCAGAAGTTTGTGAATGTAGGAGAGTTAAGAAGTTTCTTGGGACTCTGTACCTATTACCGGAAGTTTGTGAAGGACTTTGCAACTATAGCTGCTCCACTGCATGATTTAACTCAAAAAGGGCAGAAGTTTGAATGGACAGTTTCTTGCCAGCATTCTTTCAAGACATTGAAGGAAAAATTGGCCTCTGCTCCACTTTTAAAGCTTCCAGATCCCTCACTGCCGTACATACTGGATTGTGATGCTAGTAATGTCGGAATTGGAGGAGTGTTGTCTCAGAAAGTGGGCGAAAACGAACATGTGGTGGCCTACTTCAGTAGGGTTTTGAGTAGACCAGAGAGAAACTACTGTGTAACACAGAGGGAGCTCCTTGCTATAATAAAGAGTCTGACATATTTCCATCCTTACCTCTATGGTGCAAGGTTTACCATCAGGACAGACCTAGCTGCATTATGCTGGTTAAGATCATTAAAGAACTCAGTTGGACAATTGG